GAGCTCCAATACAGGGGAGAGGAGAAGGGCATCATGGAGGGAAGTGGCATGGTAGGTACAGAGTCAGGTAGAAAGTACTTAACTATAGGAAACTAGTCTGTGCAGGCCAGAGAGGAAGCTATTAGCTATAGCAGAGCTGGCCTGCCACTCACAGCTAGTTCTTGGTGTTCTGTTCAGCATCAACAATTCATAGAACATCAATGCCAGACAAAGGGACTCCTTCAATGAAAATTGAAAGCAAGACCACACCATAATTGTTTGAATACAATAAAAAATATGGACACTGCCCAAGCCACAAAAATGCTATACATTCTCCATTTGCAGCTTCTCTACCAATTCCGGCTTCCCCCCATCGTCCTGTCCTTTCTGTTCTGATTACTGACCATGATTTAATATAGTCAATTAATCAGAATTACTCTCATTTCCAGGCAACATGCAAACTCATGACAGAGTCCCCTTTCCTTAAACTGCCTCCCCAACATATGCCACAAGCCCAAATGCTGTGAGTCCTTTCAGTCCTCTCTACCGGGACTTCCACAGTTCGTTCTCCTTTGTTGAAATGTGAAAGAAACTCAGTCATTTGTTGTTCTTGAAGAAATGACTTCTGATCCTTACCGATGACCTCTAGCTAACAACCAAAGGAACACACCAGCAGGTGAATAAACTGAGTTTCTTTCACATTTAATTACCGAGGAAATGTGTGCAGCTGGAGGAGAGCTTGGCCGTAAACAAGAGTCAGGATATTCTAAAGTCCCAGAAACACAACTCGTAGAACAGCCAACAGCGTTTACTGTCTGAATCACGTGTGGAGGGACCTAACCTGTTCACAGCAGTGTAACTACCAAATTCTGAGTCATCTAAAATTACAAGAGAATATTTGGTGTATGGAGGAATAAAAAATTGTGTGGTACAGACTGGGGTCTAAAAGAGAGCAATGTCCTTTATTTTTATAATAAAAATTACAAACTCAGTTGTCAAAATTGATTCTACAGCTAGTTAAACACTATTTATGTGTGGTTCTCATGAGGAGAAAATATTTACTATCACATTCTTCTGACACACAAGTTATTTTCCACTCTCATTTTCTCGGGGACCTACTAGAAGACACTCTTACTGGAACATACAGGTGGACTAGAAACATGTCGAATTGTGTATGGAGAGATTTCAAAAGATGCAGCCAAAGCAACCACATTGGATTGGGGAAAGGATGTGATTAGGGACAGGGGTTTCTTTCCTTCTGAGTCTGTGTGTTCAGGGTTCCAACCTCACATCTGATGTGTTGTGCTAAGGCTAAGGAGTAGCTTGTAATTGGTCAACCTTTTCTAAGAATAACTTGCAAAGTGACATTAAAAGTGTGTTTGGAGGAATTAGACTTACAAAGGCAAACAGAATGCAGGTCTTCAAAGGTTCTAGCATCATCTAGGAACAGGAAAGTCTTAGTTCTCCCTGGGCTCCACTAGGGCCAGGGTGGCTATCCTACACTTTAAGGCAAGCATTGAAAAGGTAAGGGCAGTGCAAACCCAACTAGTTAGCACCCAAAACATGAAAACCAGAACAATGAACCCTGATAGCTCAAAAGAAAAAAAAAATAAAGGACAGAAAATGGAACATAAGCAGATGGGACAAAGAAACAGCTATGTATGACTATAGTCTAAGCACACCCACAGTTACATTAATATTCATATTAAAGCTAAACACAAGAATGCAAAGGTTTTGTCGTCTCTGGCCATATTTTAAAAGTATGTGCTGTGTATGAGACACAGAGAGGCTGAAAGGAAATGGATTCCCAGAACTGGGGCTATGGATGGCTGTAAAGCACCAGGAAGGTGCTGGGAATCAATCCCTTGTACTCTCATCTTCTGGAAGAGAAGCCGCCACTCTTAACCACTGAGTCACCATCACTCCAGTGATGAGACTTCTATGGCTCAGTATTCCTGGTCACCCCCACCTTATGGCACCTCCAATCTGTAACATCCTTCCACAATTGGCACAGGAGAGGGATGAAGAGCCAGAAGGTCTCACTCTGGTGTTGAAAAGGCCTAATCTAAAAATGGCATGTTACTTCTTCCCACAGTCCACTGGCTGAACTGTGTGTGATTTCTTAAATGCAAAGGGCGCAAGCGATGCAAACTTTCCCTGAACACAGGAAAAGAGAACCAGGAACAGGTTAGGTTCAGACATGTCTACCAGGGTTGGAAATGGTTGTTTACTTCTGAAGTCATGAATGCCCAGAAGGTCCTGGGACATGACAATCCTGAAAAGAATGGTTCCGTGAAAATCAACTACCTCACCTCAGAGACGCTTTTTGAAAGAAATCCCTGAGCTTAAAAGCTGGGGTGGCTATACAATAAAAGAACTTCAGGAGGCATCACCATTCCTGACTTTAAGCTCTACTACAGAGCTATAGTTCTGAAAACAGCCTGGTATTGGCATAAAAATAGACAGGTAGACCAATGGAATCGAATTGAAAATCCTGATATTAATCCACGCACCTATGAACACCTGATTTTCGACAAAACAGCTAAAATTATACAATGGGGCAAAGACAGCATCTTCAACAAATGGTGCTGGCACAATTGGATGAGGGTGTGTAGAAGACTCCAGATAGACCCATGCCTATCGCCTCACACAAAACTCAAGTCCAAATGGATCAAAGACCTCAACATAAATGTAGTCCCCCTGAACCTCTTAGAAGAGAAAGTAGGAGGTACCCTTGAACAAATTGGTATAGGAGACTGCTTCCTGAACGTAACTCCAGGAGCACAGACACTGAGATCAACAATTAACAAATGGGACCTCCTCAAACTTAGAAGCTTCTGTAAGGCAAAGGACACAGTTGACAAGACCAAACGGCAGCTCACTGACTGGGAAAAGATTTTCACTAATCCTATATCCGACAAAGGGCTGATCTCCAAAATATACAAAGAACTCAAGAAACTAGTCAACAAAACACCAAATAACCCTATTACAAAATGGGGTACAGAACTGAAGAAAGAATTCTCAATGGAGGAAATCAAAAAGGCTGAAAGACACTTAAGAAAATGCTCCACATCCTTAGCTATCAGGGAAATGCAAATCAAAACAACTTTGAGATACCATCTTACCCCTGCCAGAATGGCTAAAATTAGAAACACCAGTGATGGCTTATGTTGGAGAGGATGTGGAGAACGTGGAACACTCCTCCACTGCTGGTGGGAGTGCAAACTCATACAGCCATTTTGGAGATCAGTATGGCGGTTCCTCAGGAAAATGGGAATTAGTTTACCACAGGACCCGGCAATCCCCCTCTTAGGCATATACCCAAAGGATTCACATCAATGCAACAAAGACATCTGTTCAACTATGTTCATAGCAGCACTATTTGTAATAGCAAGAACCTGGAAGCAACCTAGATGCCCCTCAATTGAAGAATGGTTAATGAAGATGTGGCACATCTACACAATGGAATACTACTCTGCAGAAAAAAATAATGGTATCTTGAAATTCACAGGCAAGTGGATGGCACTTGAAGAAACCATCCTGAATGAGGTAACCCAGTCACAAAAAGAGAAACACAGTATGTACTCACTCATATATGGATTTTAGAACTAGATCAAATGATCACCAGCCTATAATTCATATCACCAGAGGAACTAGGATACAAGTTGTATTCTAAGAGATTCATATAAAGTCCCTCACAGAACTGGGAAGGGACAAGTCCCCCAGACCTCAGGTAAAGTGGGGGAGGACAGCTAATGGAGAGAGAAGTAGGAGAAAATGAGAGGGAGGAGAGGAAGGCATGTGCGACCAGGAGGATTGAGCCTGGTTAGGAATGGAAAATAGGAAAGAGAGAGAGAGACAGAGACAGAGACAGAGCAGAGAGAGAGAACATAAAAGAGGGAGCCAATATTGGTTTGAAGATAAAGTTGAACACAAAGAAAGGTCGAGGGAACTACAAGACTGCTCCCAACTAACAATCTCAGCTCCCGTGGAAAGGCTATCATAAATGCCCTTCCCGGAGAGTGAGATCCACAACTAACTTCTCCATGGAGTCCTCAACTAATGCCTGTTGAAAACAGGAGCAAACACCCATACATAAACACTGAGTCGAACTAGAACCCAGAAGCAGATGGAGAGGACAAGACCATGCGGTAGAAGTACATAGAGACAGCTTACCTGAACAAGGAGGAGCTAAGGGCCACTACACTGATAGCTGGGAAGCCAACAGGGGACTGACTCGGACCCCCCTGAATATGGGTCTCAGCCAGAAGGTCTGAGCAGTCTAAGAGACCTCAGACAGTGGAGCCAGGATGTATCCCTGGTGCACAAAAGGACTTTGCAAACATATCCCCCATGGAGGGATAACTGCCTTATTCTAGAGATAGGAGAGAAGCCCTAGTCCCTACTTCACAGGACCTGTCAGATCTACATGACCCCAACTGGATGGCATTCCCCTACATATGGTATTGTGGTGGGGGGTTGGGAGGGGAGGGTGTTTAGAGTGCATGTGATAGGGCAGAGAGGGCAAAAGGAAGAGAAGGAGGGAGGGAGGGCTGGAGGGGAGGGAGGGAGGGAGGGAGAGGGAACTGGGATCGACATGTAAAATAATAAATTAAAAAAAAAAAAAAAAAAACGCTTTGACTCCAAAATTTAAGTTGAAGAACAAGTTACTGGGGAAAAGGATTTCTATTTTTGTTTCCACAGAAAATGAAAAGATGTGGATTCCTTCCAGACTAATGTGGTTTGATCACGCCAGACCGCCTGAAACAGAGTACAAGCTGAACCTACATTCTAAACAGCTGGACAAAACAGCCCTACAGACTACAGCTAGGATATCTGAATCCTCTTCAAATCCCCCAAGACAGCGCCCCTTACCAGCAGGAAGTAGTTTGGAAAGAACGACGCCCAAATTCCCAAATATTGTGTATAAATGTTTGTTTTCATTTAATTGGACTTTGTTATATAAAATTAAATAAAAAAATTATAAAAAAAGAAGCTGGGGTGGTATTTTTCACACCCACCTCGAGTAGAAGTCTTTGATTCAGCGCTTGTGTCTGAGTGAGTGCCTCCAAGGACACCTTCAGGAGTAGCTCTGTCTTCTTCAGGTTTCGAAAATCTCGCTCTTTCTCCCTTTGCTTACGAGAAAGTTCATCATGGTAGTTCTGCTTGTCAATGAGACAGTTTCGTAGATTGAGATCCAAGATCCCTCTGTCCAGGTCAAGAGTGAACATGAAAGTGATGTCATTCACTGTCTTACACAGTTTTCTAAGCTTATTAAAGACAGCACACTCAAGGATATACACAAAACTTTTCTTATATCACAACCATAAATCATAAACAATACCCAAAGCAGCCAGTTTTGTGTATTGATATAATTTAGGAATATAATTACATAAACTCCCCAAATGTAATGATAGGCTGAGTTCAAACTCTGGCACTTAAGAAAAGTCAGGGGCTAGGGAGATTCTATAGTCGGTAAAGTGCCTGCCTCACAAGCATAGGGTTTGAGACCCTCTATCCATGTAACTAGCTGTGAGTGGTAGAACCCACTTGTAATCCCAGTGTGGGAAGGTGAAGACAGCCAGTTCCCTGGAGCTGACTAGCCAGCCAGCATAGTCTAGTTAGGCAGTCTAAAGTCCCAATGAGAGACTGTCTCAAAAGACAAGGTGGATGACAGAGGTTGTGACCTCTGGTCCCTACACTCTAGTGTAGTGACTTGCCCACACATTCACAAACTAAGAAGTGTGGGATCACACCATGCCTCAGTGTGGGATCACACCATGAAATCTCCCTCATCCAGAAAAGGTTGGGATTAAGTCGGAAATACCACTCATTTGTTGGCAAATCTCTGGGTTCTACAGCACCTCCCAATGATACAACTGCCCATAACTTACAGCAAATAATTTGGAACCACAGAATCAAGGAAAATTGTGATTAAAGAACAGAAAAAAAGTACTTCAAATGTTTAGATGGTACATTTAATTAATGGTAAAAACTGATTTAAAATTCCATAACTTGCTATTGAGTAGTGTGCAATCAGTTGATCCTGTTTAAAATTCAGATGACAGGACAGATTAAAGTGAAGATGACAGAAATAGAAGTGACCTTTCGGCTAGCGAGGAAGCTTCGTTCTCCTTGGTTAACTCCAACATCTTCAATAGCTGGCTATACTCTCGTTCTTTCATTTCCAACGAGGCTCGCTTGCCCTCTACTTCCTTTATTATGTCATCCTTCTCCTCCACGAGAGCATTCACCTTGTTCTCAAGCCTCTTTAAAGACTCATTTAGCTCTTTGACTTCATATTCCAAGACAATATTCTTCTTTTCCATGTCTCTGTAGGGCGCACACAGACACAAGTAAGAGCGCTTGTTTTGAGTTCATGCTGTCTCTACCTATTATCAGGCCAAAGTGCACTTGTAAGTCCACTGGTCTTAGAAGTGTGTGAAGGTCAAAGCTGAGAGGAACCTGGGGTATAATGGTTAGCTTTCTTCATCAACTTGAATCACTTGAGATGAGATTCTCAATGGGGAACTGTTACACTGTATTAGCCTATAGCAGTGGTTCTCAACCCTTTACTATAGTTCCTCATGATGTGGTGACCCCCAAACAGAAAATTATTTCAATGCTACTTTACCACTGTAATTTTGCTATTATGAATCATAATTTAAATATCTGGCATGCAGGATATCTGATATGTGACCCCTAAGGGGGTCATGGCCCACAGGCATCTCCATGGGAGATTGTCTAAGTAAATTGCTGTGGGAAGACACAGTCCACTGTGAGTGGTGCCATTCCTTAGGCATGAAGGCCTCCAACTGTCTAGAGGGAAGAAGTGGAGCTGGGTACAAGCAAGCCAGTGAGTGCACAGCTTTCATGTTTCTCTGCTCCACTCCTGATGTGGATGTGTGTGATTAGCTGCCGGAATTCCTGCCTTGACTTCCACGTGATGAAGAACTGTAACCTGTAGCTGCAGGCTGAAATAAGCTGCTCTCTTCCCTACTCTGTTTCCTGTCAGGGGATAACTTCCCAGAATGCCCCTGATTCTCTTTTCTCCTCAGATCCCAATCTCTGTAACCCATAGTTTCTACTGTCATCCTGACTGGCTTCCTGGACCAGGCCTGACGTTCTTAACTTCACTTCTGGTGATCTTGGGTTTTGGAATCATACTGCTCCATTTTCTGGTATTCTTTTAAGATTGATTACCACTGCAATCATATTATTTCTCTAGAATATTTTTTATATGCACTGACCTGTTATGAGTCCTTCTCTGTTCCTCCAGCCAGTTCCCAAATAATGACACAGAGACCTCTATTAATTATGAAATTTCGGCCATCAGTTTAAGCTTGTTACAACTAGCTCTTACAAATTAAATTAACCTATTTATATTAATCTATGTTAAATGTTGTGGGTTGTTTATACACTTGTGAAGATTTATTGGTTTAATAAAGAGCCAAAGGGCCAATAGCTACACAGGAGGTATAGGCGGGACTTCCAGACACAGAGAAAGGAAGTAGGAGATAAATCCAGGCATGCATCAGACACCAAAATGAGACATGGAGGAAGTCAGAGAGACATACAGAATGAAAGAAAGGTAAAAAGCCACAGGCAAAATGTAGACTAACACAAATGGGTTAATTTAAATGATAAGAGCTAGTGGGACAAGCCTAAGCTAAGGCAGAGCTTTCATAATTAATAGGAAGTCTCTGTCATTATTTTTCAACAGGTAGCTGACAAGAAAGCTTAGTGCACTAACCTTTTATTTTCTTTTTGGTCACTGAAATTCTGAGAATTTCTCAATGGTCTTCACATCCAAATCTACTCTGAATGTCTGAGGGTGGAGAGGTGCCCAATGAGGAGTCCCTATCTTTTGGGCTGCTGGCTGCCTGAGGACCCTTCAGGACCATGGCATTCTAAGTTCACATGGTTAATCTCCAGCCCTGAAGAAGTTGTTGCAGGTCTCTATAGGAATATGATTTAAAAGAACTAATGATTATCATTTGCTGTATTACTTCCTTGTAAAGTAGCCAATACATAGAGTCCAGGTGGCACTAGGGCCAGATAGTTCCAAGATTATAATTTCTAAAAATTAAAACATACATTATTTGGGAGAAGGTGGCTTAGGAGGGATTCAGAATAAAAATATTAAAACATACATTTTTTTGCGTGTCATTTTTTCTATCTCCTTTGTAATTTGTACGGGAATAGTTTGATGGTGGACCACATCATCCTAGTAAAGAAATACAACCATGTTAAGTTATGTAGTCAAACAAGCAAATTAAATGAGAAGAAAATTAAGTTTTGTGAAACTCTTACCATCTGCCCTGTATTTCTCCCAATTTTCACATTGGCCTTATAAGGTCATTATTCTTGTCATTATCTCAAAAAGAAGGTGACAGAATGGGACAACTATAGCTGGTGCCCTGCTAAGAGTCTCACCTCTTTTCCCTGGGGTGGGAGAGATGGGAAGAAGTATGGAAGAGGCTGTAACCAGGGTTAGCTCATGCAGTGAGATAGTATCCCACATTCCTTGGCTCAGGAGAACAGCCTCTGTGGTTAATTCAAGATCCAGGGTTTCCTGTGAGGCCAGACTGAGATAGAGATCCACAGCAGAACCGTCTACAGTCCTTCTTCTTCCAGAGCTCTACCCTGCTTTTCTCAGAGCCCTATAGGCTTCTCCAGTATTAACTGCTTCTGGGAAGCCCTGCCTGCGACTGACAGGAGACACAGAAAATACTGCCCATAGTTGCACAGCTCATACATGTAGGGCCAAAATCAGAAGACAGACGTGTAGAAACTTACATTCTGCCAGATGTGTGAATTCATGGACCGTGCCATTTAGGTATTGCATTAGGGGTGATGAAAGAGACCCTATTTATCCAGGGTGTTCACTAGATTTGGAGGTCTGAACCTCGTGTGAGTGCGGCAGTTAAACACAGCAATGCACTGACAGGGTGCAGCGCTCTGCTCAGGGTCTCGCCCAATCCTGGAGCAGACCTAGGCTCCATAGGGCTGAAGTTTAGCAATATGGGAGCCCCTCTTCAAGTAAAAGAGTCACAACTGCTAACTTAGGTCCAAACCCTTGGAAGAGATTCATGCAGATGATAGTCTGAAGCCGAAGCTGCATGGGTTGTTGGTGAAGGATCTTAGATTCTATTTCTCCAATGAGAGCCGCACAGTGAGTGCCACTGTGAGATCTTAGGGGAAAGGCCAGGGCAAATCACAAGCATTTCTAAGTCAATGAATTTTGGGAGCTGTCTCTTAAATAACTCTAGGTTCTTGAGATTTATTATGTATTTTTCAAAATGAAATTAATTTCAATTAGTTATTTCCTAAAACATTAGTATAGGCTTCTTGTCATTTTTACAGTAGGAGGAGGAGTGGAGTCAAACATGCAAGGGTATGGTAATACAAACACATAGGAAAGGACTGAATGTTCAATTTCTTACAAGCCTTCAGATTACCAAGCTTTCACGTGTCTTTTCCTATCAAACACCCTCATGCCCTTGGCTGCAAGCAGCTAACCCCACCCTGTGCTTTATGCACAGTGTTTGAATGCTCACGAACTGTGCACTCATACCTTCAGGCCGACCTGGCACTCCTGCAGCTCTTCTAGCTCCTTCTGCTCCTTTAGCAGCTGCTTCTGCTTGGACACTACATCTTCCCGGAGGATTTTGATCTCCAGTCTCTTCTGAATTACTTCCTTGCGAAGTTCTTCAGTGCTCTCTTTCAGGGCTTTCATCTTCTTGTCCATTTCCTTTAAAAGTCATGAAAATGGCCAGAAGAATGCTTATCTATGTAAAAGCAAGCTAAAAACAGTTCCACCCACCATACTGTTTGTACATGTTTGAAGACTCGGAAGTGATTCCCAGAAAGGAGGTAACTTATATCTGGCACCTTCAGTCACAGCATGCCAATTGCACCACATTAACAAGCACGTGACAGTCTTGAAGTACTTTTTAAGTGAGTGGTTCATGTTAAAAAATGTTTTCTTTTCTATGTTAATTTTTATTTCATACTAAAGAGCACTGTGAAAATGTAAATTGTTTTCTTATATGCTTGAATTTAATAAAACCAGACACAATCTTTTAATGTCTGTCTTGTGGCTAACCTGAGTCTTACATGGCAACTAGCCATGAGGAGACTCATGTTTCCATACAGTAGCACCCCCATTTACGAACATCACCTCTGCACATTCTCTTCCTCATTCCCCATCAGCCTCATAGGAGGTTGTGCTGCCTATCTATGCCTTTTTTATTAGATTCAGACAGGCAACTGCTAGGAATAACGAAGTAGGTATTCATCAGCCTGCCTGTGCTGGGCTTTCTTAGAGATTCCCTTCTATTGCCGGTAGACAGTAAAGTCAATCACCTAAAACTCTTTCTTCTCTCTGTCTCTGTCTCTCTCTCTGTCTCTCTCTGTGTGTGTATGTGTGAATGTGTTGATATTGAATGAGTGTGTGTGTATGAATGAGTGTGAGTGTGTGTGAGTGAGTATGAATGAGTGTGTATGAGTGTAAGAGTGTGTATGAGTGGGAGTGTGTGTGTGTGTGAATATGAATGTGTATGTGTGTGTAATAAAAACGGTGGTTAGATGTTATTATCTCATTGCTGTGATTGAACACCTGACAAGAGGAACTTGGGGGCAGGAGGGTGTGCTCTGGTACAGTTGGATGTGGTAGGGAAGTCTTGCCAGCAGGATCTTGCAGTGTCTGCTCACACTAGCAGAAACACAGAACAAGGACCTGGTGTTCTTTTCATTCTGTGCAGGACCCCAATCTGTGGAACGATGCCACCCACAATTAAGGTGACTCCACCTCAATTCCTGCCCAGAGACTATAAGCTAGCTAATCCCCCAAAGGATACTGAGACTTGTCTACTAGGAGATTCTAGATCTTGTCAAGTTTACAATCAATATTAGCCACCATAGATGCTCCTAGATAGAATTAATAATGTCTTATTAAATGTTCCACAGATTTGTGAGCTGGCCATGGAAAAACCATTGACAGTACGTTTTAAAACACCATCCTGAAAGTAGAAGCAATGTTTTCTGTTGTAAGTCTCAAAACTTGGCCATAATTCCCTCCCATTACCCAGGGCATTCTTGGCCCTCTGCAGTGTGTCATTCTTTCCACATACAGGGAAAGCCAATCTTCTATAGACATGGCCCTGTCTACTGTTTGATACAAAATTACTTAAACAGAGGCTTTAAAAGTTCTTGTGTATTGTGATTTGCATGTTTTGAGGCTGGAAACCCTTCTACTATCATGTGATCAACTAGTGACATGGGACCTTAGATCAAGTAACCTGTCACTGTAGTTCAGCCTACCCCAACCAAGCCAGCTCAGACTAAAAGAATGCAGGACTATAGTAGAAATGCTTGTCATTTTAATCCACCATCTTTTAAGATGGCTTGCTGTACAGGAATAGGTAAGCAATTGTGGGGTTTGAATGAGAACAGCCCCATAGGCTCATATATTTGAATGCTTGATCCTTAGTTGGTGGGAATGATTAGGGGGTGTAATCTTGTTGGAGGAGGTGTGTCACTGGGATGGGATTTGAGATTTCAAAAGCTCACCCCATTCTGTTAATTCCTTCCTCCACCCAGACCCCCGTTCAGCACAAACACACACACACACACACACACACACACACACACACACACACACACACACACACACAGAGAGAGAGAGAGAGAGAGAGAGAGAGAGAAGCTCTGCTTTGCATTTCTGGATCTATGTGGGCTCTCAGCTACGGCTCCAGCATCACACCTGCCTGCCTGCCTCCATGCTCCCTACTATAGTGTTTCAGTGAGCCCCAAATGAAATGCTTTCTTTTATACATTGCCTTGATCATGGTGAGACAGTGATGTATCTTCTTTATGATCAAACTCTGACTGAAATGCTCAGAAAGCTCTGAGTGTAGTAACTACTGAGATGTTTTTAAGTGACAAGCACAGTCTGACTAATGTAGCTGTCAGCACAGAAAGCTTCTTAGCTGCCTTGCTTGCATTTACTCACCAGTATGCAGATCTCCATTTCTGCATGTGCAGTGACTGGATTTTCAGTGTTTCAAATGTTTCAGGGTGTGGTGTTATTTTTAAAGGGATGTTTGAATCCAGTTGCATTTAATAAACTCTGATACTTACTCCTGGCTTAGGTATCTTCTCAAATTCCTTTAATATGAGAGTCTTTTCTTCTGTTAAGCTGTCAAAAAATAAATAAATATATATATATATATCAATATATATATATATCATGTTTGACAAGAAGCACAAAAGAGTAAGAACTTCTGCAGCAGTACCTTCCTTATTTTCTCTGTCAGATCTGTTCCCAGGCTCGTCTGTTCATGTCCTAGTGTTGTCTCTTGACAATGGCTCTGATTCTTTCTGGTGCACTTAGGTACTTCCTCTTGCCCAGCATTTCAGCAGCATCATGCACACCTACCTAATACAGCTGATCTCTGGGCATGTTAATTATAACTTCCTAGGGCACAGACCTCCCTGAGGACTAAGACTCCTTCCAGGAAGCTTAGGGCCTTTTCCTCTCTATGTTACCTCCCTAAATTACTACCGGATCTTCGCAAAGATCTACCTTGCCTGCCACCATCTTTGCATGTGATAGTCAACTCTCTACTTTCAGTGTGATGATTTCCTATCACTTTCCTGATCAACAACATCCCACCAAACCTGGGCCAAGCTGAAAGTGTATCATCAGATTCTCCAGGCACATTGCTCTGGGCTCTGGCTAACTTGGCCTTCTTGCTAAACCTGTTTTAGCCTCAGGGTCTCTGGGTCATCCTATTAAAAATGGTACCAACATTTCCCACCTGCTTGTTTTCCTTTTCCACATAGTGTGGCTTGCTGCCTGATTGGTATTTTGTTGTGCATTAGCTCCAAGGACAGAAACTGACTTGTTTACACTGCACATCCATTGCCAGCAGATAACTAGCACTCAAAGATTAATAACAGGGATATTCTGGATAAGTTGGTTTAATACCTATTTTCATAATTTGAAATACATACTTTATATACTAAACGAGGATAAAGAGATACATAAAAAAATATAGCTGCCCATAGGATAACACACTGCTTCACAGTACTTACACCTGAACTGGGAATTTTCCATGGAAATCATGAAGGAGAGAGCTGAGAAGAAGGGTTGATCCAAGGGCTCCCAAATTTTACACAACATTCACCTTCCTCAGGGAAGGTATTAAAGAGGGAAACCACAAGAAGAGTTATAGAACATTGGAGCAGAAGAAACTTAGTAGAGATCCTTGGAACATGGACACTCAAAGGAAAGAAGGAAGGAAGGAAAGGAGAAAAGGAGGGAGGGAAGAAGAGAGGGAGTAAGAGAGAGAGGGAGGAAAGAAGGGAGGGAGGGAGGGACGGAAGGAGGAAGGAAGGAGGGAAGAGTTTCAAGTGAAAGACAAATTTAAACCAAGTTTAAACCAGGAACCAAGTTTAAAGGAATGTTACTTGGGGGTTCTTGAGAATAATTCTTTCCTATATTGTTTCTACTCCAAATTATTAAAAACTGTATATGAAATCATGGAGCAGTAGGGATGCTGTCTCTACTGGTATCTCATAGCCATATCTCATGATCATTCAGCCAAGTTTAGCCTCTGTGACAAACACATGAGAATCTGTCATATCCTTTTTCTCTTCCTGAATGCATAGGAAGACTGCATTTTATAGCTCCCCTTGCATTTGGACTGGGGACAATGGAAAGTGAGGGGAAGAAAGTGACACTTGTCATCCTAGCCACTGAATGAAAGCCAGTTGGCAATCACACGGGGTGCGACTGTGCCTTTCACTGAACTGTCAGCCAGAAACACACTTTTTATTCTCACTTTTATACATTTATTTACATCCTGGTAGAAGTCCCCCCTCCCTCCTCTCCTCCCAGGCTTTCCTCCCTACACCACCTCTGTTCCTGCCCCAAATGCACTTTTTCATTTCTGCTTGGGAAAGGGCAGGTCTCCTCCCACGAGTATTAACAAAATATGGCATATCAAGTTGTACTAAGACTAGGCACCTCCCCATGTATTAAGGCTGAAGGTGACCTAGTATGGGGAGTGGGGCCCCAAAAGACAGCAAGCGAAGTCAGAGACAGCCCCTGTTCCCTGTTAGGAGTCCCACAAGAAGACCAAGTGACACAGCCATAACATATATGCAGCCCCATGCATGCTCCCTGGTTGTAGGTTCAGCCTCTGTGAGCCCTTATGTGTTGAGGTTAGTTGATTTTGTGAGTTTTCTTGTGATGTCCTTGACCCCTCTGGCTCCTATAATCCTTTCTCCCCCTCTTCTGCAGGATTCCCTGAACTCAGCCTAATGTTTGGCAGTGGGTCTGCATCTGTTTCCATCAGTTGCTGGATGAAAGCCTCTCTGATGACAATTGGTCACAGGAGAAGTCCAGGTCGGGCTACATATCTGCTATTGCTAGGAGTCTTAGCTGGGATCATCCTTGTAGATTCCTGGAACATTCCCTTGTGTCATGTTTTTACCCCACCCTGAAGTGCCCCCCAGTAGTCTTTTTTAATACTCTCCCCTTCTCCCCTCCCCAGTCTGATAGCTCCTGTTCCCATTCCCACCCGCCTTCAGTCCATTCATGAAATCTCTTCTATTTCCCCTTATCAGAGAGATCTGGGTGTCCTCTCCCCCATTAATCCTCCTTCTTACCTAGTCTGATGGGAGATGTCATTCTGTAAATAGGCTTCTCTTATTTGTTAATGAATAAAGCGCTGTTGGCAAATAGGAAGGCAAGATAGGCAGGACTAGGAGACAAGGAAGATTCTGGGGGATGTAGTAGGGAGGAGTCAAGATGTAGGGACTTGAGAGAAGAGATCCGGACCCTCTCTCCGGTAAAATAATCTAAGTGGAAATACTTAGATGAGTAGAAATGGGTTAATATTTAAGACAGAGCTAGCTCATACAAAACGATAGTAACAGGCCAACAGTTTTATATCTAATACAGCATTTCTGTGTTATTTGGGGCTGATGCAACTCTGGGACCAGGCTGGTGGGAAACTGCTCATAACACTAGTTTCCCTGAGTCTATGGATTGTAACATAGTTATCTTTTGTTTTACAGCTAATATTCACTTATAAGTGAACATATACCACGTTTGTCTTTCTGGGCCTGGGTTTGGGTTACCTCACTCAGGATGATTTTTTTTTTCTAGTTCCATCTATTTTCCTGCTAATTTCAAGATGTCATTTTTTTTAAACCACTACATAACACTCCATTGTGTATATGTACCACATTTTCTTTATCTACTCCTTGGTTGAGGGACATCTAGGTTGTTTCCGGTCTCTGGCTATTACAAATAAAGCTGCTATGAATATAGCTGAGCACGTCTCTTTGTGGTATAATTAAGCATCTTTTGGGTATATGCCCAAGAGTGGCATAGCTGGGTCTTGTGGTAGATTGACTGCCAATTTTCTGAGAAACTGCCATATTGACTTTCAAAGTGGCCTTGCAAGTTTGCACCTCTACTAGCAGTGGAGGAGTATTTCCTTACTCCACAGCATGAGCTTTCAATTGTGTTTTTGATCTTAGCCATCCTGACAGGTGTGAGATGGAATCTCAGAGTCATTTTGATTTGTATTTCCCTGATGGCTAAGGATGTTGAACATCTTAAGTATTTCTTGGCTATTTGAGATTCTTCTGTTGATAATTCTGTTCAGATCTGTACCCCATTTTTTAATTGAATTATTTAATTTGTTAATATCATGTTTCTTGAGTTCTTTGTATATTTTGAAAATGAGCCCTCTATTGGATATTGGGTTGGTGAAGATCTTTTTCTATTTAGTAGGCTGCCATTTTGTCCTATTGCCTTACAGAAACTTTTCAGTTTCATGAGGTCCCACTTATTAATTGTCAAGCTTAGTGACTGTGCTACTGGTATTCTGTTCAGGAGGTTGTCTCCTGTGTCAATGTGTTCAAGATTATTTCCCACTTTCTCTTCTGTCAGGTTCAGTGTATCTGGATTTATGTTGTGGTCTTTCATCCACTTTGACTTAAGTTTTGCACAGGATATATATATATATATATATACACACACACACACACAAATATATATATATATATATATATATGCATGGTTCTATATGCTGACATCCATGAAATCCATATGCTGGCTTCTTTGTCTAAAAATTAGGTGTCCATAGGTATATGGATTTATGTATGGGTCTTTGATTTGATTCCATCAATCTATGTGTCTGTCTTTATGCCAGTCCTATGTGGCATTTATTACTATAGCTCTGTAGTAGATATTGAAATCTGGGATGGTGATACCTCCAGAAGTTTTTTTTTTTTATTGTACAGAATTGTGTTGGGATTTTGATGGGGATTGCATTGAATCTGTAGATTGTTTTTAGTAAAATGAGTATTTTCACTCTGAATCCTGATCCATAAGCACAGAGATCTTTCTGCCTTCTCCAATTCCTTTTTTCAAAGATTTGAAGTTCTTGTCATACAGGTCTTTCACTTGCTTGGTTAGAGTTATACCAAGATACTTTATATTACTTGAGGTTATTGTAAAGGATGTTTATTCTCAGCTGGTATATTGTTTGTATGTAGGAGTGCTACTGATTTTTTTTTAAAGTTAATCTTCACTAAAGGTGTTTATAGTTGTAAGAATTCTTTGGTAGAGTTTTTTTTGTTGTTGTTGTTTATGTATACTATCATATCATTTGCAAATAATGGTATATTGATTTCTTCCTTTCCAATTTTTATCCCCTTGTTCTCCTTCAGTTGTCTCATTGCTCCAGCTAGAACTTCAGATACTATATTGAAGAGACGGAGAGAGTGGACAACCTTGTCTTGTTCCTGATTTTAGTGGAATTGCTTTGAGTTTTTATTTATTTTGATGTTGGCTATTGGCTTGTTGTATATTCCTTCTATTATGTTTAGGTATGTTCCTGTTATCCCTGATATCTCCAAGATTTTATCATGAAGGGGTGTTGGATTTTGTCAAAGGCATTTCCAGTATCTAATGAGATGGTCATGTGGTGTTTTTTCCCCCTTTCAGTTTGTTTGTATAGTGATTGATGTGTGTTGAACCATCCCTGCATCTCTGGGATAAAGCCTACTTGGTCGTGGTGGATGATCTTTTCAATGTGTTCTTGGATTAGGTTTGCCAGTATTTTATTGAGTATTTTTGCAACAATGTTCATGAGGGAAACTGGTCTGTAGTTCTAT